GGTTTGGGCCGGGGCTGGGCCGGGTTTGGGCCGGGTTTGGGCCGGGTTTGGGCCGGGTTTGGGCCGGGGCTGGGCCGGGTTTGGGCCGGGGCTGGGCCGGGTTTGGGCCGGGGCTGGGCCGGGTTTGGGCCGGGTTTGGGCCGGGTTTGGGCGGGCGGGGGTTTGGGCCGGGTTTGGGCCGGGTTTGGGCCGGGTTTGGGCCGGGTTTGGGCCGGGTTTGGGCCGGGGCTGGGCCGGGTTTGGGCCGGGTTTGGGCCGGGGCTGGGCCGGGTTTGGGCCGGGGCTGGGCCGGGTTTGGGCCGGGTTTGGGCCGGGTTTGGGCCGGGTTTGGGCCGGGTTTGGGCCGGGTTTGGGCCGGGTTTGGGCCGGGGCTGGGCCGGGGCTGGGCCGGGGCTGGGCCGGGTTTGGGCCGGGGCTGGGCCGGGGCTGGGCCGGGTTTGGGCCGGGGCTGGGCCGGGTTTGGGCCGGGTTTGGGCCGGGGCTGGGCCGGGTTTGGGCCGGGGCTGGGCCGGGTTTGGGCCGGGGCTGGGCTGGGCCGGGTTTGGGCCGGGTTTGGGCCGGGTTTGGGCCGGGGCTGGGCCGGGTTTGGGCCGGGGCTGGGCCGGGTTTGGGCCGGGTTTGGGCCGGGTTTGGGCCGGGTTTGGGCCGGGGCTGGGCCGGGGCTGGGCCGGGTTTGGGCCGGGGCTGGGCCGGGTTTGGGCCGGGTTTGGGCCGGGTTTGGGCCGGGGCTGGGCCGGGTTTGGGCCGGGGCTGGGCCGCACTTTTCCCCAGTCTAAAATAATGGTCCTTCAGTGATTTTCAAGCCCTACCTTTCTTAAGAACCAGTTGGTTCTGATCCCGTGCATCAGGCTCATGTGGTTCTTCAGCCGCACACTGGACATGAATGTTGTTGTTTCAGTACAACGCCTGAAGAAAAAAACTCCGTTAAATCTACGTTTCAGACAAACTGGATGATCCTGAAGATAAAGCCTCACCAACAAAAATATTGCTTTTGTTTCTCCTCATGGTCTTTGCGAATGTGTTTTCTTAGACTGGTGGAGAAGTTGAACGACTGGTCACAAAGCCGACAGGGATAACGCTTCATTCTCTGGATTAAAAATAATAATGAACAGTATATCTTACTTTATGCTAATTTAATTAACAAAGCATGTCCTCTTTCAGTTTCATTTATTATTATTAGAGCAGAAGCAAAAAACTTGTACGCTCATTCAATATTCATTACCAGCACATATTTAAAAGAATAAACATTTGGTATTACAAGTTCAACAAAATCATTCAGTTTGTCCGGGACTGTGAAAGTCTGGTCGTACCTAGCTTTAGCATGTAGCCTAGCTTTAGCATCTCCTTTGCCGCTAACGAAGCCCGTAGGGAGCAGCGCCACAATCTTTTCCAGTGATTACATTTGCTAAACATTCCTCTTGCTCCGGCTACAATACAACATGAAAACCTGCGGCTTATATGTGGACAAAATTAACTTTTTCTTGAACTGTTTCTGGTGCCGCTTGTGAACGCCACATGGTCCAGAAAGTACCGTAACAACAACACACAAAGCAGAGTGAAGTTGTGTTGTCTGACTCAGTGGTGTCGGTTCAGTGGTGAGATGCTTGTGGCTCTCTGACCTTGTGGACAAAATGTTCAGTTTCTTGATAGAACCAGACTGGAATACTTTACTATCGCATTCTTCACCAAACTACAACCTTCCTGTTTGACGCAAACTCTTGACGTCACTCACATCTAACTACAACACCCGCCTCCCGCGCTCTCTGATTGGTCGGATGGAATTCAGCCAATTGTAATCTCAAACACAGGGACCAGACCCAGACGTTACAGCAGGACCTGATGATGGACCTGAGAGTACGGATGGATAAGACCAGGCTTGGACTGTGACAATTTTTTTCTTAAATTCAAAAATCTCATATTTTCATCTCTCTGCGGAGATTTTTCCTTGACTGAGCTCCATGAAACTACGACATTTCTGAGTCAGTGATTTTCTAACTTTTGGCAAAATAAATTTACTGTAATCTTTTAAACTACACACATTATATATATATAAAATGTATAAATATGAGTTGAGAATACTTTTGAAGACCTTCTGGAAGCACATTTGATGATCTTGAAAATACATAAGATTTGTTTTTAGAAATAATATATTTTGTATGATCATAATATAAATAATAGCATGTTTTTGTATTGAAACTATAGAATCAATAGCAGTATAAAAAGTAGCTCGTCTATCTTAAATCAGCACATAACAGTCGTATGTACTGACCTTGGCTTTGGTCCCATCTTTGCTGAGGTTGCTCTTTCTCTGCAGACCTTCTTTCTCCTTCTCTGATCTCACCGTCCTCTTTTCGTGTTGCTGTTTGTGTATTTGATGCCCATTCTTTTGCGCAGAACCTTTATGGATCTTCTACACACAACATTTACACATTTACAGCTAGCTTTCAGTGTCAAGCAGCCCAAAAATACTTCAAATCCCACCCCAGTACCTTGAAGTGCTGCATTAACTGCTGTTTCAAAGTGAAGATGGATTTGCATTTGGGACATTTGAACACACACTTGACTCGTTTGCAGGCATCCTCTTGGAAATGCTGGTAGAGTAGCGCCTTCTTCTTGAAAATTGTTTCACACGAGCACTTAAAGATTAACCTGCGAATCAAAAATAAGGTCAAGTGAGACTCTAGTGCAGGGGTGTCAAAGCCGGGTCCAGAAGGGGCCGGTGTGGCAGCAGGTTTTGGTTCCAACCCGAGCAGGAGCACAGCAGACTCCGCCCATTTCCTCTGGACTCACCTGAGGAAATGGGCGGAGTCTGATGTGCTCTCTGTACTCTTTCTTTCACTTACTGAGGTGAGGAGTTACTGGCGCCATGTTTGGTTTTCAAATGCATCTCACAGCGATCAGACGTCTTGAAGGCCACTGGACAAACGGCACACTTGTAGAAGCTCTCGCGGTGCTTCTCCTGGATGTGTGCCTTCTGTCCTTGTGGAGACTTGAACACCACGTCACAATGAAGGCATCTGCGTGGATACAACACACGCGGAACCATTTAAAGCTGGGGAAGCCAACTTTTAAACCATATCTCTCAAGCTTATTCCCAGCTCTATCAATATTTTTTTTGTAGTATAATAGTCTTTTGAGATATACTTTGTTAGGTAGTATATCACTCAGCCCAAAGCATCAAATAGCGATTCTTCCATTGCAGATTCTTCTTTATTTTTGTTATTCTCCACCAGTGACCTCATGACCGTCCCTTTATGCTACTGTCACTTTACTGCACTCTACCGCACTCTTAACAGTCTATTGTGTGTATCTAGTACCCCTTTATTATTCATGTTCTGGGTCCGGGGGGGGGGGGGGGGGACATGTATGTAGATTTTGATTTATGCCTTCTTGTTTTTATTCTGCTTTAACTTGTTTGCACCGAGAGCCAAAGACATTTCCTAGTTTGTGACTTCCTGTTACTCACATGGCAATACAAATTATTCTGATTCTGATTTATCTCAATATGGGCCTCCCCAAGGTTTCTCACTTTTCTCCAACTAGGTTTTTTTTCTGAGTGATTCCTTGAGGACAGTGATGATCCGGCACATTTAAGGACATTGATTATCCCTTTACCTATGGCCCAACGGCTCCAAAGTGTTTGTTATCATGTATTTGATTCAGTTAAATTCTCTAATCTGTTGTTGAGGAACAAAAAACGTTCCTCAACAGCAGTCCTTCGAGACGACTGCTGTTGAGATTTAGGGCTGTGCAAAATTAAATGTTATTGAATATAATAAGTGTATATGGGTATTGCCACTGCTCACATTCTTACAGTCTATAGATCGAATACATATTTTAACAAACAAAAAATAAATTCACATAATTCCTTGCACTTACTTGTACCATGCTTTGCGGGCGTAGTGCAGGCAGTTCTCTTGGACGTGGCTCTGGATGTCTGCAGACCCACACAGGAGCCCACACTCGGGGCAGCAGAAGGGAGGCGTGTGGCCATGGACGCGCTCGTGTGCTCGGAAGCTGCAGTTGTTCGGGAGAATCATCGAACATTCTTTACACATCTGTGCAGAGAACAAAGAGGGTCTGCTAATGTTGGCAAAAACCATAACCAGGATTATGAAGCTGTTAAGTTCTGTCCAATTTGAAGTCTATTCTGGTTCTTGAAATAATATACCCATTCAATTTTCCATAAGAGTTTTGAAAAATCTAAAAAGTCATGATGGAGGCAAACTACTTGCCGTGGTTTTCAGCCCAAAAACAACACTTAATACGTCACTCGTCAATACTAAAAATTCATCTTAATGTTAATGGTTTTGTGGCTTGTAACGTTAAAGAAACAGATTTTAAATAATAATGTAGGTCTTCTAACCTTAATGCACCACATATCTAACATGAACAGGCACTACTCCATTAGGCTTTGTAATTACTACTACTACACACATTGCCAAAATTAAATAAATGAAATAGATATCTGTCATTCATAACTTCTTAAAGACCTTAAAAAAAATGTGGATATCAAAATTGCATGACAATGTCGATCTGAAATAGATTCTGGCAAAAAAAATCCTATATTTTATAAAAAGAACGTGTTTTTCATTAATTTAAGTTGTCTATGCTCTAACCTGTGTGTGACGTCACAGCGGGTAACGCCCATGCATTGAAAACCATGGATCTATGCCACAGGACTGCCTTTTCTCTCTTCTCTCCACTGATGCCCGACACAATACTGCCCTCTACAGGTGACAATTGCTCACTACACATAAATTGCCGTGTTGAGAGTGAAAATGTGTCTGAGCTGGGATTTGAACCCAAGTATCTGGATTGACAGTCCATCGACACGACCACTGGACTATCTCAGTGACAACGAAGACTTATTATCTAGTATTTATGTCAGACTCGCTGTACACGGCCTTGTCATCTTGAATATCCGCGAAAAAAGAACGAATACCAAATTGTGAACAACTTAGAGCGTTGAAACGTACCCACTCTGACGTCACCAAGGGCTGTGAAGTTTTTCCGTCTCTAAGGGCGTTGCTATGGGGTTATTTCGATTTGGGGGCATCAGACAAAAAAAACAACTGATTTTTGAAACCTTTAGTAGTTCTCTTCTAATATAAAATGGTATTAAAACTGTATTCCTAAATAAATCAAACCCGGCATAAGGTCTTTAATGTTTAAAATGTCAGATTTTCACTGTTTTTCAGTATTTTCAGATTACATTTGAAACTTTTTTCCTAGACCAATGAGGGAAATACACTGTCCAGCATATTCCAAAGCAAATTTGTGTAGTTTGTCACATCCTGTTACCTACAACGGCAACACAAACAATTCAATAATTGTCCACAACAGAGTATTTCAAAATAAATTCTTGTGGTATCGAAATCTGTGTTGAGTATTAAGTCTATTTATTCGTAATGGAATTGACAACACTGGTTAATGTAAAGCCTAGATGTCTATTTCGATTCTCATTCGCCAAAACTCTCACTCATACTGTTCCTGTGGGTTGTACTCATTGCTCACCAGTTTCTCTGTATCTTCGGAAACTCTCTGGTAATGTCCCGCCAGTGCCTTGAGGTTCGAGCAGTGCTGGTCACACTCCACGCAACACAACGGCTGGAGCGAGGCCCGATGCTCCGGACGCAGAGGCATGACCGGCGGGTTCTTCTGCACGGCCTTGAAGACAGAGGACTGAACCGAGGGAGATTCTGCAGCTCTGAGAGGCGCCAACAGCTCCTCCTCCGCGATCGGCTTCATGTAGAGCTGTGTGCACTGCATCACCGAGCCACTGACCTTGTGCTCCCGTGCGTGGGCCAACAGCGCACACCGGTTAAAGAAGAGCAGTGCCTTTTTACAGTGCGTGCAGGTGACTTCGATGTGAACACTCCTTCTGTTGAAATGAAACTTAAGACTCCGCTCCACCACAAACGAGTCCCCGCACTCCAGACAGCGATAACCGCGAGGAGGCAGGGTAATGTTGCACTCTGGAGGCGGGCCCAAATTAGGCACATATGTAGGCACTGGGTTGGCATAGTGTAAGAGTCTGTTTAAGGTTCCTACGGCTTTGTTGAGAGGGGAGGGGCAGGTAGTGTAGACCTGGTGCACTAAAGGGACACTGCTGGAGACACTGGAGGCCACGGTCTGCACACTGGTTTGGTTACAGGAACGAGAAGCTACGGATGAGGCAAGACTGTGAGGGACAAGATTCAAACTGGCCAAGTGCATTGCTTTAGGTAGGCCTGTGTTAGCGATACTGCGTGATTCAGTTGATTTCTTTGGTTTGGGCTTCTTAGACATTGTTAATTGTCTTTTGTTGGATGGACCATGTAAGGACTGTGGCATCCTGATTGTACTTTCTGATTTATTAGGTAAAACTTTAGGTGTAAATGTTCCGTTTTGAGAAGGAGACATGTTGAAAGAGTCTTCGCTGATTATACTTTGACAGGGAGAGGATTCATTGGCAGAATTAAGCTCTTCTGTTTCTGAATCTGGGGACACACGGACGACGGTGCGTCTGATGCGTCCGGATGATGTCTTTATAGTCTTGATCCTGACGCGGGGAATGGCCGGAGATGAAGCAACAGCCGGAGAGACCATTCCACTGCTATCACTGCAGAAGCTCATGGGACTGTCCGAGGGCTTCATCAGCCTCTTCATAGTGTCCAAGGGGCTGTAAGGACTTCCAGGGGAAAAGGTTGTTGGAGGGCTGACCTTTTTACACTCAACAGCTGTTTGAGTGTACAGCAAATTACTGTGTTCATTCAGAGCATTCAAGGCAACCAGGGAATCAAGACAGGAGGAGAGCTTGGATTGAGATTTAGAGTCTAAAGATGTAATACTTTCAGACTTAAATGGCTCTGAACTACTCAGTATCTGTCCACAATCACTGAGGGAACTTGGGGCCTTATCTTTTTCATGGTCAAAAAAGGTTTTGTTGCATTGGTTTTCTTCAACACATTTCATGATGGGTTTCTCAATTGGAAACTCTTCACACACATCATTTTTAGAGGTGACTAAATTAATACTTTCCATTAAACCTGTGAAAAAATCTTCCTGTTTATAAGGAAGTTTTAAATTCCCTTTCATTTTTGCCAGCTCAGATCCAGTACAGGACAGTGGTTGAGAAAGAGTTTCAAAAGGCTTCTGTTGAAGTAAAGGAGTGTTTCCATTCAACAAAGAATTAAGATGTTTAGAAGAGCCACTTGCATTAGTTTTAGCCAAAACAGACATTTCTTGTGGAATGGATTCATGTTGAACAATTGAACTGTGGGGCCTTTCATCCCCACTGTTCAATGACTCACATTGACCAGAGTCTTTGACAAGCGCCCCCACGACAGGAAAGTCTGTGGAGATGGTCAGGGAGAAGGCCTCCTCTAAACTGGACTCTGTGGGTTTGTTTTGGTCAAACTCCCCTTTGCCTTCTTGAGTTGCCTCTTTAGCGCCCAAACCGGTGGCATCCGGGATGTCAAAGGCAGCAAGAAGGTCCTCAAAGTCTGGGGTCTTCATGTCACCCATGTTTGCTGACTGCTATAGACCTGTAGCAAAAATGACAGATTGTTCACGTGACGTAATGATGCATTTATTTACGTTAGCAATGGTTAGAGCGTGTGTGTATACAGTTTTAATATAGCTTGCACTAGCTGATTACAATGTAACAATCATGATATAACGTGGTCATTGACACCCAGAAAAGGTATCTGTGGGTGTCATCAAGCTATGATCCAAACTCTGTTTATCTGCTTATAGATAGAAAGTTAAAAATGAAAGCGTTGCGATGTCAAAACACTAGCATTTTTACCACATGTAAAATGTAACTCATGTATGTATAAACTCACCATTTGACAATACTGTGCTTAATAACCATGTGCATAATGTACTGAGTTAATACAATGCCATAAAAGTCTTTTAGATCTGTTCGCCGCTGTTATTCTTGTCATTATGCTAACTGCTAGCACTCCATGCTACGGAAGCGTTGATGTTTTTCCTTTTCCTGAACAGCGCGTGTATTTTTCCCTGAGTATTGTCTGTCAGGCTGCACAGGTCTGTCAGGCTACGGCATCTGCGCTGGGACAAGTTATAACCTGGTCATAACATATGGAAGGTAAGTGCCCATCACGAAATTATTAATCCATATACATTTAAGGATTATTTGCATTCTGTGAACTCACTATACAATGCAAAAGGTGTTTGGAGTTGTACATACGGTTATACATTATTATTTATCGGGTTAACTCTGAGCTTCCTGTTAATTTGTAACTAATTATAAGGATATTTTCCTCATTCAAAATGGCATTTTCTGATCATTGCAGAAACTAATGAATAAAAAAAAAATCTCCCTGAAAAGGTGTACGCTCAACATTGATAAGAATTCGAAGCAATGATCAGACATATGGCTATGGCGAGGTAGTTTTCCATTACTTTCACAAAAAGTTATGTTGGAAAAAGGGAAAAGTTGTTTTAAGTATTTTTTAAAATATGTATTTATTTTATTTTATTTTTTAACCAATAATCATCATTCATGAATTGATTTACATAAATGTGTATGTATACAGAATTAAAATACATGTACGGAGTTATACACATACACGTACAAATCTACATACAAGTACATACAAATAAATCATATAACATTATCATCTTCTTTTAACTGAAATTTACCTTCTGAGCTATGAATAAAGGTTATATTATATTAATACATGATTTGAGTCGAGTTACTGTGTTAGGTCTGACACCATGAGTTAAAGAAGTAGAATCCAAGAAGAGGCTTAGTTTTTATCATTACCTTGTCTCGACTCATAACTTTTCCATTCTGCTTATCTCAAATCTCACTCCCTCACGTTTCCCTTACTGAACACAACCTTCTCTGTAGTTTGAATTATCTTTCTTTCCGTTCCTTTCTTTTATAAAACAGATAGCTCAGTCTCTCGACAAAGGTATAATGTCATACTGTGAAACATGTCAAACAACTCAGATGTTTATGGAGAGAAGCAGAAGGCTGTGATCAGTGAAGGGGGAGCTTGATGTCTGGCACTTATGAGCTGTGAAAACTTATTAATGGGGCCCAAAAAGCTGTGATGAGACACAAGTGGAAAATGATGCTGTTAAAACCAATCAATCTGTCGTTAGTGGTCAGCAGAGCCCTTGAACCGAGAGAGCTGCTGTTTATCAAGCATATTCTCTCGTTTTTAGATCGTAATTTAACCTCTTATGCATCATTAATGTTCTCCACTTCTCCTGCCCATTGTTTCCCATTGACCTGAACATTTGGTCAGATTTGTTTGTTAAATAACTCAAGTACAGACATTTTTCTTTTTTAGGAATGTTTTTTATAGGCATCATTGGGTTTGTTTGATTATGGAATTTCAGTCGACGTAAAGCAGACAATACATATTTCAATTATCCAACAGAAATGTGCTAAAACAGGATTTATTTGACTTTTGCCATTTCATCATCTAAACTGCAAATTGTCCAGACAAGACATTTTGGGAATTATTATATTCTCTATTATTCTATTGAGAAATCGACTGAATTGTGATATTTTTTGTACAGAAACGTCTGAACAACAACAGTACTGAAAACTTCTGAATTGTTTATTGTATTGAAAACGATACAATACGTTTTATAAATGTCTTCTTCTCCTTTTGAGTATCCTGCTATTTAGTTGAATGGATTATATGTGTCTTAAACAAACAAACTCATAAAACAATTAACTAATAAAATTACAGATTAACACTTTTAAGATACCATTTTAACAAACTCAGAATAAAACCCTGGGATATTGTGATTATGGCCATAAATTGTTCATAATATTGCGAATTATAGCAGTTCCAAAGCCTATGAGGACATTGAAAATAACCTTAAATAACCTGAAAAACTAAAACATTTAATATTTTATGTCAACTTAGTCCAGCAGTTAAACAGGTTTGTTATTTGAACATGAGAAAAAGGAGACAACAGGACATTTGGATCAGCCACAAGAATGCAGCCTCTGTAGCTACAGTATGTG